CCAGAAATCAATTCTTTGACTAAAAAATAGCTTATGTTTAAAAAATCAGAAAGATTGGACTGGTAGTTGCCGAAAAATCCACCACTGAAGATCATAATTTTTATATGTAAAAACGGTAAAATCACTATTTTTGCCAAATTTTAGTATAAAAATTATGATCTTCAGTGGTGGATTTTTCGGCAACTACCAGTCCAACCTTTCTGATTTTTTAAACATAAGCTATTTTTTAGTCAAAGAATTGATTTCTGGCATTCATTTGGCCGTAACTGCTCTAGTTAAAAAGTTAAGAATTTTGCCATTTTTAGAATTAAAAATTTCCGCCAATTTTTACTAATAATTAAGCTAAAAAAACACTTTTAAAAAGTGTCTCATGTCTCAAACTTTTAAAATAAATATAAATTTATTGTTGGGCCCACTGAATTTTTTAAGATTTTTTAATTTTTAGGGTGGTCGGATACTTTTTACCGGGGAGTGTACCTTAACAAGACAAATCTAATGAATCATATTTTATTTTTCTAAGTTTAATAAAGAAGAAAACGTTGTGAAATTTGTATTTGTTAAATTTTTAAAGACGAAAAATGAATTACTTCATAAAGTTAAATCACATTATTTCAATAACCAGTAAACAGAATTTAATAATTTATAATTCAATGAATTCATATTATCAAGATGCATCTAATTGCAGTGTTTTTATGTCTCTAAATTTGATGGATCAGATGTTATTTTCAACAGTAAAATGCAAATAATTCATTATTCATTTTTAAAAATTTGACATATACAAATTTCACAACGTTTTTTTCTCTATTAAACTTAGAAAGATGAAATATGATTCATTAGATTTGTCTTGTTAAGGGACATTGTATTTATTATTTTCATGTCTCTAGGATTGATGGATCAAAAGTTATTTGCATTTTACTGTTTTCAGACATTCAGCAATAACTTCCGATCTATTGAACTTATAGACTTGAACATACTGCGGTTAGATGCGTCTCAATTAGACGAACCCAATGAATCATAAATCATTAAATTCTGATCACTGGATGTCGAAATAATGTGATTTAATGGTCACTTTTTAGAAGTGTCTGGATACTTTTGGCAGGTGGGTGTATATCTTTTATTTTTATAATTCCCATAACTATTTCTTTACATTCAAAAGAAAATATAAAAATACTTTTTTAATGATATTTAAGAGATGATATCTTGAGAATTTAATAAGAATGATCGGGGCCATAGGCTAACTTCTTAATAGAAAGTTCCATCTGAAGAGGATATTAAGAATAAGCCGATAACAATGAGACCTATGAGCTAGTTTTATTATGAACTTTCGCTAAGAACATTATATAACCGATATTTTTTTATTTGTTTTTTTCAAGCTCATTATAAAAAAGTTTTTTAATATAAAAAACTCTAAAAATATTTATGCTTCAAATTTTGAAGAAAAGTCAAATACTGTAATTAACTATTTAATATTATTTAACGAAAGATTTTATTTTATGCGTACCAGATTTTTGGCACATATGAAATTTGAGACAAATATAAGTGTCAAATAAGAAATAAATTTTTGAGAGCATAACATAAATTTTTTACGTATAAATAAATATTATTCAATAAATATATCAGAGAAAAATTAAGTATAACTTTTATAATTATTTAACCAGTAAAAATTTTACAATATGAAATTCAAACATCTTTAATATAACCGATCTGCTAGTAATATTTTCTAGATTAAAATAAATTTCAAGTTCTTTTGTAGATAAAAAAATTGAAATTAATTGTTATTATGCATAAAACTCTTAATATTTGCCATTATTTTTGTCTTCAATCAATTTACTCTTTTTAAAACATTTGTTTTTAAATTCACTATATGTAAAATTTCATCATACCATTGTTAAAAACTTTTCAAATACGAAAAAAAACTAATTAAAAAAAATGATGATGTAAATTATATAAAATGTAATAAATCTTAGTTTATTCGATTCGACTGCAATTTAATTTCTCGTTTGTTACTCTGTTTACCATGTCTCGTGGGTCCCGTTTAACTCACCGCATCGACAGTTATTTTACCGACAAACGTTTCACCGACAAACGTTCGTTTCACTGACAGGTCATTTCACCGACATTTATAAAACAAATTTTTTTTTTAAAAAAAAATTAAACATAAAAATTTTTTAATTATTAATGCCACAATTTTGTTTTATTACGTATAATACAATTATTTTCAAATACATGAACATTAATACCTCAGAGATAAAGAACATTGGGATTAAAAATAATATCTAATTGGATTGGATTGTTTAAGAAAAAAAGAAAAATCAAAAATCGCGTCACATTTAAAATCGTGGCGCAAGATTTTTACCAATAAAAATTCGGTGGCGTGACCCTTGCGACATGTCGCCATGGCGATAAAAAACAAAACCCTTTTTTAAAATATTTTAAAATTATTTAGGTAAATATGTGAAATCTTTAAAAGATGGTATTAAAAAATAATGACAGATAAGATAGTATAATATTTAATTATTTAAATAATGATTTTTTAATTACAAATTTATGTAAAAGAAAAAATTTTTTTACATATATTATTGAGCTAAAAAAACTAATGATAAAAGCTAAAATATGAAAGTAACAGATAAAATAAATGAAATATAATAATTTCCCTTCATTTAGTACCAAGTAAAATTTCTTTCAGTTCATCATCATGTTTTGCATCACAACCTTGATTTTCGGATTTATTGTTCACCTTCTTTGTTGCCATCAAGATGGATTTGCATAATATAATCATTACTTTTTTCATAATCATCACTTTTATCATAATAATCACTTTTTTCATAATCATCACTACTTTGATTTTCGGTCTCCTTAACATCACTAATTTGATTTTTGGTCTTCTTAACATCACTACTTTGATTTTCGGTCTCCTTCTTAACATCATCATTGATTTTGGATCTAATGTCACGAGTCAAATAATTAACATAATAATTACTTAATACATATAAGATTTTGGATCTAATGTTACGAGTGTTACGAGTCAAATATGTAACATCATCATTACTTATTGCAAATATAGTAGTGGCATACTGAGATTTAATCCCCTTAATCATATTTATCGGAAGTTTGTTGACATTGTTGTTGACGTTGATGTCATTTAATAAAAACAGCATTTTATTATATAGATCATAAAAATTTTTCGCTTTTCGATGTTGGAGATCAGTAACTTTTTTCGGAGCATTTTCTCCATCATTATCGCTAAATAGCAATTCTCCGAGACGGTAATAACAACGAATAAGTTTCTGATTAACAACTTTGTCTGACTTGCGTTTTCCATCAGGAATAAAATTCTGAAACAAGTGAGTTCCAAAATGTTTTCCAAAATCAATATAACTTTTTACAGGATTAAGTTTTACATCATCTTCGACTTCTTTGATTGAATCAACGATTTCATAATATAAATGTTTAAAAAAATATTCATCTTTAACGAGATGAGTAGAATAATTAAGATTAATGGAATGAAATGTTTTCTGGTTGATTTCTTTAAACAACTTATGTAATTTTTCGAATTCTGTGAAATAATTTAATTCATTCAACCCTTTATGCAATTTTGTATAATAGTTATACCTTCTTAATTCTATGAATTTTCTCAATATTAATCCTTTCGATATTTGATGTAATTCTTTCGGGTCCAATTCTTTTAATAATCTTTCTAATAATTCTTTTAATTCTTTTGATTCTTGTGATTCTTCTCTTGATGTTTTTTGACTAGTTTCTTTTTTCAACTCATCAAAATTCTCAAATAATTTTTCTATCTTGATCTCGGAATTATCGGAATTTTTCGAAATTTCTTCAATAAATTTATTTTTTTTTGATTTGTTTGCTTTTTCTGTTTCGGGTATCTTAGGTAATTTTTCTTCCACCTTTTTCATAAAACTAGATAATTCATTATCTATAAACTTTATAAGCACCTCCGAAATTATATTATTAAATTCTTTTACATTTCCTGTATTAGATAATTCTTCAATAAATACCTTAAGTAATTTTTTTTCTATCTTATCAATATCCTTATTATCAATCTCCTCATTATTAATCTCCATACTTTTAAGTAATTCTTTATGCAATTTTGAATAATCAATCTCCTCATCATCTTTATTAAGTAATTTTTGTAATTTTTCTAATTCATTCAACCCTTTATGCAATTTTGAATAATTGTGATCATCTCTTAATTTTATGAATTCTTTCAATATTAATTCTTTCGATATTTGATGTAATTCATTTGGGTACCATTTTTTTAATAATTCTTTCTGGCTAGTTTCATCATTTTCCTCAAATAAATTTTCTTTCACTTTATAATTAGATAATTTGTTTTCTATAACTTCCGAAATTTTATCATTAAATTCTTTTACATTTCCAAGTGTATTAGATAATTCTTTTCCAAGATTAAGTATCTCATATAATTTATCAATAAATACCTTAAGTAATTTTTTTTCTATCTTATCAATCTCCATATCATTATCATTTTTATTCAGTAATTCTGTGAAATCACTTAATCCTTCATTCAACCATTCATGCAATTTTGTATAATTGTGATCATCTCTTAATTTTATGAATTCTTTCAATATGAATTCTTTCGATATTTGGTGTAATTCTTTTAATAATCTTTCTAATAATTCTTTTAATTCTTTTGATTCTTCTCTTGATGTTATCTGACAAGTTTCTTTTTTCAACCCATCAATTTTCTCGTATAATTTTTCTATGTTAGGGTAATTATCGTGATGTTTCGAAAATTTATCAATAATTTTTTTTGCTTTACTTGTTTTGAAATGATTCTCATCATGTATCTTAGATAATTCTTTTTTCAACTCATCAATTATCTCATATAATTTTTCTATCTTGATCTCGGAATTATCGGAATTTTTCGAAAGTTCCGGTTCTTCAATATATAATTTTTCTATCTTGATCTCGGAATTATCGGATTTTTTCGAAATTTCCTCAATAAATTTAATTGCTTTTTCTGTTTTGAAATCATTATAATTATTAAGTATCTTAGAAAATTCTTCTTCCACCTTATAATTAGATAATTTGTTTTTTATAAATTTTTTAAGCACTTCCGAAATTATATCATTGAATTCTTTTACATTTTCTGTTTCAAATTCTTCAAATGTATTAGATAATTCTTCAATAAATACCTTAAGTAATTTTTTTTCTACCTCCTCTTTATTATAATTATTTTTTTCTCTTGATTTTATGTGATCATTCAATATTAATACTTTCGATATTTGACGTAATTCTTTTAATAATCTTTCTAATAATTCTAATGATTCTTTTGATTCTTTTGATTCTTTTGATTCTTCTTTTGATGTTTTCTGGCTAGTTTCTTTTTTCAACTCATCAATTTTTTTATATAATTCTTTTATCTTACTGGAATTTTTCGAAAATTCCTCAAAAAATTTTTCTGCTTCTTCTGTAGATAATTTTTCTTCCACCTTGAATTTTTTAAGCACTTCCGAAATATTATCATTAAATTCTTTTACATTTTTTGTATCAAAATTTTCAAATGTTTTAGATAATTCTCCAATACATTTAGAATTATAATTAGATAATTTTTTTTCTATAAATTTTTTAAACACTTTCGAAAGTTTTTCATTAAATTCTTTTAATTCTTTTACATTTTCTGTTTCAAAAATTTCAAGTGTATTAGATAATTTTTCAATAAATACTTTAAGTAAGTTTTTTTCTATCTTAGCAATCTCCCTATTCATCAAATCTTTTCTTATATTATCATGCATCTCAAATAATTTTTTTTCTATATCATCAAGTTTATCTTTAGCGCAACGATTAATTATTTTTGCATACCTCAAATCCTCGATGGGAGTTTCTATCTTTTGATCAATCTCTTTTAATATTTTAGGTATCTCGGATAATTCTTTTTCTATCTCATAAAGTATCAACGGCAGATTTGTAATCTCTTTCAGATTTGGTGGATCCTTTTGTTTCAACGTCTGATTTGTATCCTCTTGTTTCGACGTCTTATAAAAAGTTTTTTTCCATTTCTCATCATATTTTTCCAAATTATCACAATTTAATATTTTAGGTATCTCTTCGCGTAATTGATCAACTTGTGCACTTGTTGGATCCGTGAAATTATTTAAGCCTTCTGCCCACTGGTTAATATATTTCAACCTTTCTTTTATTCCGTCAAGTTCTCCAATTAAATTATTAGTAAAATCAGTAAATTCTTTTGTATGCGATTTCTTACTTTTCTCCATTATTTGTTTAATTACTTCCAACTCCTTAGTTATCTTAGTAAATTCTTCTTCTATTCCATCACTTCCTTTTTTCGACGGCTGTTCATTTTTTTTCTCGTTTTCCTTTTCTACTATATTTAGCAATTCCTTTGATGCCCCATAAAGTTCCCTAAGTATATGGTAATCAACAGTCAATTTAGTCGATTCTGATTTAAAGTGATATTTTTGATCTTCCGAATCCAGAATAATTTTGACAAGCTCTTTCAATGACAATTTTTTCATAAGTTTTTTCATATTCAATTCTGATTGTGAGTTAGTATTTTTTTGTAACATAAAATCAAGTTCTTCCATCGCAGTATATAATTTCCATATCCACAAAGCAATATCAGGAGCTATTGCATCTTGAACCTCCTTAGCCTTCTTTGGATCATTTTCAACCAAACTAGTTAGGCGCTCAGTAGTTTTCGACAATTCACTGTTATCAAATTCCTGTTTATCATCTTTCATATCGTAAGGCTTAAAGAGACCTTTTAGCAGATTTTCCAAATCAAGAGCGGTATTCCTTTTAATGTGAATTTTCATACCATTTAAAAGTCGGTCTATATCCTTTCCTCCATCACCTGAAAAAGTGAAAATACTTAGCGAATAACGAATTGTACCAGCGAGAATTAAAGAAATCCCTCCAAAAATAATAATCGTCACGTTTATTGAAATCACATTTTTTCCTTGAGAAGTAAAGTTAAGTATAATAAAAACAATGAGTAGTAATGAGCTAAACAAAGTAAATGTAGTATAAAATGACTTCATCCTCTGTAACCATTTACACCAACATTCAATTGTATTTTCAGTATTTCGAATGTCATCCTCATCAGTAGTTTTCAAGGAAAGATCAACACTTTCATCGCTCACTTCTGAAAATTTAATGGCAATGCAATCTTCATCCGTCGACGTTTTAGTCATAAAATCTTTAAAACTCGTAAGTAAAGTCATCAAAGAACCGACTCCGACTGCAGCATTTTCTACAAGGTCTGTGATGCCAGAATTTCCATCTAAGAAAACAAAAATAGCCCCAAAAAAAATGGTAGAAAGAGAGAAAATAATAGCTTGAAACGTATTTTTTTTCGCAATCTTATGAAGAGCCAAATTCTTATCTGCAACTCTTTTCAAATTTCTCAGACGGTATTCTCTTGCCACTTTAAGTCTCCTTTCCTTAAGTCCCTTCAAACTTGTTTCTTCATCCATCTTTATCTCGTAACGTAATTTAACAAAGCTCAAAATATAACGTAAAATGTAACGAATAAAGCGTGAATTAGATTAAAAAGTCCGTGAATGTGAAACGATTTTTTAATCTTTTCGAAATCTTCATTAAATAAGAAAATAACCTTATTATATACGATAAAAAAGAGAAAAATAACTTGATAAGAATGTAACGTCAAACAATAAGAAAAAGTAATTGTTAATTTGGTTCCCGTGATGATAAATAAACAATATTGTAATTCATAATAACGAAAATTTAATTCTTTGTTCCATTTGTTTGTAAACACGACCAAAGCGATAATAATCTCCAAATTGAGAGTGGATAATAATTGATAATCTTGTGTCGTTAAACGCAAAATTTTGCATTTGCGTACACTTCGGATCTTGTGTGACAAAAAGAGGGTGTAAGAGATGTATTCACGTCTAGAAAAAAAAATTTTCGGCCAATATTATATTATCAAAACGTTAATAAAATGCTTAATAAAACCTAAAGGAACTTAAATTTCAAGGAAATATAGGTATTTTTTGTCTTTTAATACAATTTTTTAGCACTTTTACACATAATTTTTAACTTTATTTTATTAATAAACAAAATATAGAACAAGTTAACAATAAGAAAAAGGTTTGGTTTCCATGATGATAATAGTTACAATTAAAAAACCAAATTTACCAATTTTGTAATTCACAATAAAATTTAATTCTTTGTACCATTTATTTGTAAACCCGACCAAATCTCCAAATTGAGAGTGGATAATAATTGATAATCTTGTGTCGTTGGGGAAACGCAAAAATTTGCATTTGCGTACACTTCGGATCTTGTGTGACAAAAACAGGGTGTCCCGTCTAGAAAAAAAAATTTTTCGGCCAATATTATACTATCAAAACGTTAATAAAATGCTTTAATAAACCTAAAGAAACTTAAATTTCAAGGAAATATAGGTATTTTTTTGTCTTTTAATACAATTTTTTAGCACTTTTTACACATAATTTTTAACTTTATTTTATTAATAAACAAAGTATAGAACACGTTAAATCTGTTATTGCTATTTTTAATGTAACGTCAATCAATAAGAAAAAGTTTGGTTTCTCATGATGATAATAGTTACAATAAAAAACCAATTTTACCAATTTAATTCACAATAAAATTTAAATTTGTTTGTAAACCCGACCAAAGCGACAATAATCTCCAAATTGGGAGTGGATAATAATTCAAAAATTTGCATTTTCGGATCTTGTGTAACAAAAACAGGATGTATTCACGTCTAGAAAAAAAAAATTTCGGCCAAATATTATAATATCAAAACGTTAATAAAATGCTTTAATAAACCCCAAAGAAACTTAAATTTCAGGGAAATACAAGTATTTTTTGTCCTTTAATACAACTTTTTAGCACTTTTTACACATAATTTTTAACTTTATTTTATTAATAAACAAAGTATAGAACACGTTATATCTGTTATTGCTATTTTAATGTAACGTCAAACAATAAGAAAAAGTAATCATTAATTTGGTTTCCATGATGATAATTACAATAAAAAAACAATTTTGTAATTCATAATAACGAAAATTTAATTCATTGTTCCAATTGTTCGTAAACCCGACCAAAGCGATAATAATCTTACACTAGGGCCACTAGAAGATTGGAAGCACAAAATGCACATCACTGCTGACTAGGGAAACGTAAAATTTTGCATTGTGTACACTACTACACTTCAGATCTTGTGTAACAAAAACATGGTGTATAAGATGTATTCACGTCTACCTAAAATAAAGAAAAAAAATTTTTTTACGGCCAATATTATACTATCAAAACGTTAATAAAGTGCTTTAATAAAACCTAAAGAAACTTAAATTTCAAGGAAATATAGGTATTTTTGTCTTTTAACCCAATTTTTTACATAATTTTTAACTTTATTTTATAATAAACAAAGTATAAATCTGTTATTGCTATTTTTAATGTAACGTCAAACAATAAGAAAAACTAATTATTAATTTGGTTTCCATGATGATAATTACAATAAAAAAAACCAATTTTACCAATTTTGTAATTCATAATAACGAAAAATTTAATTCTGTGTTCCATTTTTTTGTAAACCTGACCAAAGCGACAATAATTTCCAAATTGAGAGTAAATAATAATTGATAAGCTTGTATGTCGTATTTTTGTCATACGCTAGGAAAACGCCAAAATTTCATGCAAATTTCATACACCCGATTAGAACAACCATTCTTATCTTCTCCAGTAGTCCCTAGTCTACTTCAGAATTGATTGATCGGCATTTTGATCACAAAATTAAAAACCTTGCGATTCAATTTTGAGCAGATGATTGATTGATCGTGATAAACTATTAACCAACCAATTAGTTAGTGTTTTGTTGTTTTTGTTTATCTACAGTTAAAATTTTATTGGTCATAATTTTTAGTGTCAATCCTGAAGTAACCCCGGACAATTATAATCAAGGTCATATCCCCTATGTTAAGAATTTTAAAAATTTATTATTGCCATCTTGAATTTATTATAAATGTAAAATTTTAATAAAATAGTTGCCTTACTATTATTTATGACTTTGTAATTTAAAAAGTAATATTTAATAATGTAGTTTTTTATTTTTTTGAATATTTCTATGTATAGTACCAATAGTGAAAAAGTGTATATTTTTTTGCCAAATTTTGCCTTATTACACAACTTTATCTCTAATTTTAATCAGTAAATTTACATAATTTTGGTATCAAAAGATTCTTTTCTTTAAAAGAACCATTTTTTTCTATATTATTTTATAATATTTTAACTTAATAAAACTATAAGATAAATAATGTATAAAGTTTAAAATATAGTCAGATATGACAACTATAATTATTTGGGGTCCTAGTAGACTAGTATCAGCTGTATCATCATCATCACTTTTCCACCCTCATGTGATTTTTGTGACGCATCAGCCACATTGATGCAAAAGTATTAGACTTGACCCTCCTCGTGGTATTTTCTTGACCTGATCAAAAATGCAGATCTATGCATAGCAATAAATGTATTTTTCTTGACCCGATCAAAATATGCAAGTTAATGCGTAATGATAAATGGAATTTTCTTGACCCATAAATGTGATAATTAATATTGTGATTATTGTGATTATGGTGATAAATTTTGTAAAATGTAACGTTAAATCATATGATAAATTATTTGATACGAGCACTACGCGAACTCTTTATTATTATGATTAGTAATAGTATTATTGAGACAATAGAATTCTTCAGTAATAGATAACATATATTCCAGCTCAGTCTTAGATGAAGCAATCAATGTAGAATCATCCATAAAAACAATATTATTGATATGAAAAGGTTGAGCTGAAGCAAAAGTAGAGGAAAGTGATGTAGAAAGATCTGGAACATAAAGAGTATATGGGTCAACCATGGAAGATTTAAGAACAGTGAGCAATAGATCAATATATATAACTCATAACAAGGGTGATATGATTTTCCCTTGATCAATACTAATGCAAATAGAAGTTAACTTTTTGGCAAACATGACATAATGCCTTTATCTTTATTATACATGCTGCCTAAATTATTTTGGAATGCCATAATTATAATTTGGGATGCCGTAATTCATTCAGTTTATATATAATTTACTATGTAAAGTGCCAAAATAATTTGAGATGTTATAATTGAATTTGGGATTTTACTTATAATTACGGCAGCCCAAAATAATTTGGGTGGCATGTATAATCTTTATTAATTTATTAGAAACATTTACAATTAAACAAAATACAATAAAAGAAATAATAATAAAAATAAACTAACTAAAAATAGGACCCTACTTACTTATAATAAAGGTCACTATAGAAAATTAGCCCTTTACTAATAGTTTTTACTTTACTTTTTTTCTTAAATTCTATTGTTTAATTAGCTAAAAAGGAAAAAATCATAACAATATATTAACATAAAATTTCCTTTTATAGTAGGATCTGTAAAGAAAATTTTTACCTTAGGCCTGGAGGTGACCTATCTTATAAGTAAGTGGGTCCTCTAAAAATAAATTAAAGCTATATAGTCTTTTAAAGAGTAATTAAAGTAAAAATAAAAAACTAAAATAAAAAAAATTATTAGTACACTAGGAAACGGGAACCGTTATAAGTCTGGAGCGAGGTATAATAAATAAAGATGTAGCGATATTCTACTAATTAGCAGCACAACGCCTTGGAATTCTGGTAATTTTCTGCTGATTAGCAGCATAATGCCTTGAAATTCCTGGATAGAGAAACTCACATGATTGAAAATTTACACGTTATTTCTATAAATCATTATAGTGCATAGATATATATAGTTCTTCGCTTCGCTCCAGACAATTAACACTCCCTAGATCATTTTTCATGTTATATTTCAAGCATAGTAGATGTAACTATACTAATTAGACAACGAAAAGTGCATCTATTATAAAAATTGATGTCCAATTCTGCTAAGAGAGCAGTTATCTGATAGCACCATTAGACGACCTAGAAAATCCAAAAAGTGATTAAATCAATTTAATCCTTAAACGATCAAGTTTTTAATCCAATTCTTGTCAGCATTACGTGATAGCTTGATTTAGGTTAAAGGTGGTAAAGTAAAGACAAGCAAATACGAGAATTTAGACAAATTAGAAGACTTTAAATGGATTTTAAAAGTGGTAGAAATATTGATAGAACATTTCTAGCAACTTTTTTTATAGTTACAGGCATCCTAAACACATTTGTACAGCTTGTGAATAAAGTTATTATGTATAGTAGAGATAATTTTGCATATAAAAGAGTGCAGCACTGCCAGATCAGAAAAAATATCAGAAAATGATGCAGGAATAAAACCTTACATAAGATCATGAGCAAACTAACTTGTAAAAAAAAAGATCTAATAAGGATCTCGAACATTACCAAAATAGGATCCCAAACAATATATATATAGATCAGATAAAAAATTCAAAATTTATTAAGGTCAATAAGCAAATATTT